TCATTTCACTGCTTAGTGGAAGTTACATTAGGCTATTCATATATGCAACAGCTCTGCATTATGTCAATGGTAGCGTGTTTAAAGTAAATTCCAAGTAGAGTAAAAACTAAAACAAGAGCGTACCTAATCTTTCTTTATTGAAATGCAAAGAATAAGGGTTAGATACTACTGACAAATGGTAGAATTTGCAAGTCTTTTAAAAAAAATATAACGCGTAGGTAATCAAGTTAACTTAATAAATTGAACAGAATTATGCAGAAACAATTAAATCCTCAAATCGGTCATATTACTAATGCTAATGTATGTGACTAAAACATTTACGTAGTTGTAATAAAAAAAATAACTACTAATCATTGTACTAAATTTAAGTGTTTTTAGAAAGATTGTTAATACAAATCAGCTTTGATAGGTTACTCGTCCAATTGTAAGATGCGGTCAAGTCTTTTGTAGCATAACATTCAAAGAAACAAAATCGTGAAATTTAATATTACTGTTTTTCAACTAGGAACATGCATAGATAGTTTGACCAATAGTTTGATTTTGTATGATTATGTTTTTAAACCAAAATCATAATTCTATGAAACTAATTGTACATTACATTTGTTACTTGTACTTTATAATGTCTGTAAAACCCTGGTCTAAAAATAAAGTATTATCTATCTATCTATCTAATAAAAAAAATCACAAAACCATGAGCATAGCGATATTCTACACTGATGGTAGAATATAATTGCTCTTGTGATTACAATGGTTTAGGTTTAACGATTAAAAGCGAGGAAACAATTAAATTACCGACATAGAAAACTTTAATACTACATCGGGATTTAGTTCATGAATCACGAATAATTTATATCTCTCGCGGTTGATAATTAACAAGAACCTTTTTAATAATTATAATATTTATTTGAATTTATAAAAAATATAGTAAGTGTATGATTCTTTAAACTTTGACTTAATATAAGTTTTCTATCAATTTTATTAACAGATCGAAAAGTAAACAAGGTATGGCTTTAATCACCTCCCACGTGCTCGCAATAATGTTATTTTCAATGACGTTTCACCCAGTACACGTCTGTACACGCAGCCATATAATCTCCGCATGATATATGTATATGCATGAAACCGTATTACCAAAACAATAAGGCTCACGTGGCGAAAGCCTCTTAAAAGAGCGAATATTCTATTGAACTGGAATGTAACAAAGATATCGTATTTTTAGACACGTGTAAATACGAGCTAAGTTCACATTTAAAAAACATTTCTGAATACTGGCGACCAAAGAATGAGTCATACGTAAATTTTCCCCTTATGTCCTTTGTACAACTTATCTTACTTTTACCTGTTGGATGGATATTTAAAATGAATAAGTTGCCGCAGAAAAATTATGGTACTTGAAAGTGTAACAGATATTCCGTTACGGCAGTTTTATTGGTACCGGTATTAAGGTACGCTTGTGATTATAATTCTGTAAAAGTAACAATGAGATTCTCATAGCTTTATACGAAACAGTATCCTAAACAAATATTGCCTAATACTGTATTTATCTCAGGGTCTTTGTAATTTACGAGACAATGAAGTAAGGGTCAAGTTCGAGTCAGTTTTGCGGGTTCCGTACCATTAACTCTAAATCTTTCTACTTAAAACGATAACAATGAATCAATGACGCGGATTTATATAAAAAGTGGAACTAAAGTTAGATATTATCCAAGTACAACGTTTGATCAGTTAATGGGCGTAAAATAGTAAATTTATTCGACAAATAAGTGTTTCTGTATGTTAATTTTTTCAATCTTCTTTCACAATTTTAATCTTTGAAATTTTGGTATTTTTAGTGTAATGTGTGTGTGAGTGTATAAGACAGCCCGGATACACAAGTCCGCAATATCAAAGTTCTACATATTTGCGCATTAATACACTGGTTTGAACGACCTATAAGTGTGAGCTATTTCTCTCACCTGATGTTTACAACGTTCACCTACATATTTGCTACTTACAATGGTTCTTAATATAATGCAACACAGCGCTATTCTGTACCATTGAACAATGAAGACTTAATAAAGTAACATGGGAAGCAAAAAAGGATATTAAAGTTATGTATAAAAACACTTAATTTTGTTCTAAATTATGTTGAATTATCGGTCAATGTAAGATGAATTTTTGTCCCTACATTATCATCTGGAGGCATAGCAGTGCACCCTCCAAATTGAATAAAAACAAAGACACCAGATACTACATCATTTTCTCGAAAAAAATCAAGACATTTTATAGACCCCCTTGTCAATTCATTGAGGAAAAAAAATAAAAGCCTGAACTTTCGATGGACAATTCTATTACTAAAGAAGTAAGGACATCTAATATTGACACTCCTAAACAACTAAACCAATTTGAACAATTCTTTCACCAAAGGAAAGCTACATTATCAGCGAGTAACATGGCAAATTTTTCTGCGATAACGCATAGAAGTGGCTGGCGAGACCTTTTTTATGTTTTTTATATGTTCTGTTTTGATGGAATTGAATATTTAATGTACGTTCATAAATATTAAAAGCCGGAAAAAGAGCACTAACCTCTACCTTTTTGCTTGTTTCTCAAGTGTCCAGTGCCCAATATTGAGCAACATACAAACAAATATATAACGTTTTCTGTATATATTTGTATGTTGGTTATAGGTCGGTACTGTCTAAAGTTTTTTTTTTAATTACATATCCATACAAAGATAATTATTTCATCAGTTAGTCATTCAGATTAAAATCTGTGATTAATTAAGACAAAATGAATTATAACAAATGAAAGGCCGCGCTTATAATTATATTTTTATTAAGTTAGTAAATTACCCACAACAACATTTATGCCATATTTTAATCGCCTAAAACATAAACTGAAATAATAAATATGAATGGTATTTAAATGTATGTACCCGCATTTTTGTGGACTCTCTTTTACTTAGTCTTACGGGCTTTTGCAGGCGTCAGCTTTAAATTTAATCTGACACTACATTATTATGACTGGAAAACAACTATCTTACATTTTGAGGTCTATATTTAAACAGCTTAAACTAGTTAGGGTAGGAGTATCTCGATCATATTGCAAAAACTGGATATACAACAGTTTTGTTCTTGGTTTCCGGTAATCAACATATTATACAGATACAGAGCCGAGGATGGCAGCAGATGATTGAAATTATTAAATATACGAGTACGCCAGTCCTCAAAAGAGACAGTAAAGTTAATGGTACAGCGAATTGGTCTAATATTAGACGAATGATATACATAAAATCTTAACGACATTATTTGCTTCTGGCAGTAACTTGCAGATGTTTGAATTGCCAAATGAGTACTGTGTTCAGATTTTTTTTACGGAATGGAAAAATGTTTTATAGATTTCGTAAACAATAAAAAAATACTGACAAGTGTTTATATTATTGTTAAAAACATGGGATGCCGTATATGGTAAAGTTATTTATAGCTTCAAATATTTTAGTAACCGAGAAACCTTAAGACTAATAAGCTCATTCACCTAACGTAATATATTTTTGCACAGACATCGGACTAACAGGTACGCGGCTCGTCATCTTTTTTGCGCAAGGATCTCATAGTAGTGAGTCATCACTCAACGAATTTCTGAGTTATAAACCAATCACCTATGAATCATTGCCATAAAACTTATCGGCCCATCCGTTGATACCTACGTTTAGTTAAATTATATTGTAATGAGATTATCTACTCACAATTCATAACTTTCTTATGAAAACTCACATGATGACCTCTATCATATTCATACCGTTTCAAAGTAACATGAATATTACATTCAATGTTTGTATTGAATAAACCTCTATTCAATACGAAACAAGTCCGAGAAATGATAGAAATGGTACATATATTCAAATAATCCTCGGCTACCTTCGTATTACGAACAAACATTAAGGACGAGAATAAACATATAGGATCTCAAGTAAGTACGAACGGGATGAGTGATATTTCCGACCTACAACTGCTGTACCGTTACAACTCGTACACAAAATTGCTGATTGAATTTGCCATGTAAGAGTACGGCACTTTAATATTGTATATAGGTAAAACTTCGTTATGTTTACTTCTAATAAGACTTCTTTTTAATTTAAGATAGTAAGTATTTCCAACCTTCAAATACACTCTGGTAACTAATCCTGAAGACAACAAAGTTTATAGATGAATTAGCTTAGCTTAGAATTTATAGATGAAGCTCCTCTGTGGAATCATCATGAGCATTAGACAAGATTTTTCGTTTTTATCTGATTGAAGTGTACAGTAGTCTGTCAATACATTGTTAATTGTAATTCTGACATTTTTGTGTTGTGAGAAATATTTGAAAGATTTGCAGTATTAATTGTTTAAGGATACTTTACATCTATTATAAATTTAATTTAAAAAAAGAACCATCGCAAAATAAAAAAAAGGTTGATGATGATCACACGTATCTAGTACTATTATTTTCTTTGCTGACTCGAAAACCTTTTTTTCCGTTCTTGAGTTTTGCGCTTAGCAACACATTAGGCCATTCATTTTTATTTGTATGGATAGTTTTTAATGTTTATTGTAATTCTTTAAATTACTTAATTGTGTAGTTTTCGTGTATGAGTGGATGTATTTTTTTAATCACTTTCCAGCTGTTGCAACGTTTTTGCTTAAAGTATCAATAGGTCGAGAACAAGTAGAAGAAATTGACAACATTATCCCACAAAAACATTTTCATATAAAATGTTGCCAAAACGAGACCATATAGCTCGCACTGTCAGAAAGTTATCAGATCCCATGCAGAGCCTTCGAACTCTACACGCCTTAACTCTACAAAGCTTAAGTCTTCACCTTACTCAAAATAGGCTTGGCCGTTTCGTTACTACAAGAACAGTGAATAAATTATTTACTTTACTCCCATGTGAGTAGCGAAATATTTTTTTACCTTACCATGGGACGGTTGCGATTGCCGTGCCAGATTAGTTACAGGTACTACAAGGATCTTACCGAGCCTGAGTTCACCAAAGTTCCCGCAGCCAATTTTCTTGCCGACGCGAAAGTTGGGTCCCACCATAAGGACGCCCGAAGACGAGGTGACAGAATGCCTCGACGTATGCATCGCGCTGCTGCCACCCACACCACCACGCCCGCCCACCGTGCCGGTAGCGCTGCAAGAGTAAAAAGAGCTTAAAAATGCATATAAATGTTACTAACATGTATACTTATATAATGCTTATTTTATACGGAATATTGATTATGTATTAGTATTAAATAGGTATTTAGAATTTTCTTGTCACGATCCTCGGCAGTGAGGGAACGACTTAGGAAGAGAATTTTCGTGAAATAGATGATCATCCAAAAAAAAAGAGATTATGAACTAAGAGTCCGTATTACCTTTTGTTAACCGACATCGGTGCAACACATTCCGATCATGTCACCGCCGATCAATCGTGATCGCGAATGTATGTGCATTTCTACCATTAACACAATACTGATTCTATATAGCGCAATGAAAGTTCTTCCATTAGTACGTTTGTACAACATTATGATTTTTTCCCATAATACTAGATGTGTCTACAGATCTACGATGATTTAGGACACAAAAATTAGATCTAAACTAAAACATGAATAAGAATGTGACTTTATTTCTTGGTTTGTGCACGCCTTCATTCTCAACCAATCATCATAAAATCTTGCAGACATGACGTATGTAAATACAGTAAAAACACGCCAGAAATACATAATATACATTACAATTAAATTCCCGAAAAATTTATTGATATAATAATAAATTGACATATCTCACACAAGGCTGTCTGATCCCAAACTAGGCAGAGCCTGTAATATTGATAAACATACTTATATATTTCTAAATACATACATATCATAGATAAATTACACCTAGACACTATCAATCTTCATGCTCATCACACAATTATTTATCCTAGTCGGGAACCGAATCCACAATCTCATAGCCGCAGGGTTTCTAGTCAGGATGGGTAAACACTTGACCAACAGGTCAGTCAGAATATAACGATTAACTTAAAAAATAAATAAAAGCACCGAATTGAACGCGATTACATCAATCATGATGAATAAACTGTATTCTTCATTCTTTCATTTTTCATCCTTAGAGGTGATATTTTTTTCATCAAATTAAAAATTTAAAAGTATGACCTACCTCCCAAATAAAAAAGAATTTTCAAAACGCGTACACAAAATATGACGGAGTTCTAAAGTAAACTTATATATTTCTAAATAGGTACATTAATATAGATAAATTAGAAAAAATACAAGTTTTAGCTTAATACCACTAGATCAATAGCCAGTCAAAATATAATAATAAACTTTTAAAAAACTATTGCACCGACTCGCGCTTAGATCACTCTGTATGAAACTGTACTCTTCTTTCCTTCATTTTCTACCCTTAGAGGTGGTATTTTTTCATAAAATTCGAATAAGACTACAGCAAAATTATCCTACATCCCAAATAAAAAACAATTTCCCAATCAGTTTTTTATCGGTTATTTTATCTGTGTTGACAAGTAAAAACAACATTGTTTTTACTTGTCTATTTTTAGTGACAATGATCTGCATCAATTTTTTTTACCTTCGGTAAGGTAGTCAAAACACGTTTAAGGCTAACTTAAATATGCTATCAATTGATGATATGCTTCTACGTCAATGTTTTGAATTTTTGGTTGCTACGTCAAAAAAAAAAAACGTGATATACTTATGAAGACATGCCTAATGAAACCACGCTGTGTTAGATCAACAATTAATGCTATACTAATACTATAAAGCTTATTTTGTTGGTTGTTTGTTTAAACGTGCTAATCTGTGGATTTAGCGGTCAGGTTCCAAAAATTTTTTTTCATTGGATATTTTACATTGAGGATTTTCGCGACGAGGGTGAGGAATGGAGCAGTCACCATATATTATAAACATATGTAAATCTTTACGTTACGAGTATAATATAATTTGCTATGGTTATTTTTTAGTTTTATCTTTAACTAACCTTTGCCCACGGCTCCGTTCGCGTAAATGTAAGTTATTGCGGTTAAAGGTAACCTATGTTTTTCCACAAGAATTAAAGTATCTCCATACCAAATATCATGTAAATCGGTTCAACGGATATTAATTCCCTATACAAACTTTCTACCCCATGCCCTTTCTCTGTACCAAATTTCATCTAAATCGGTTCAGCGGTTTAAGTGAAGTGAAGTGAAGTAGTAACGAACAGACAGACAGACAGACACACTTTCGCATTTATAATATTAGTATGGATTTACATATATAATGTCAATAAACGATGCTATATGATGAATAACAATGAAATTATAATACTATTTTGCTAATTATTTTTAATGTATTTTGAATTTAAATAAACAAACTAGTAAAATAAAAATAACCAATAAAAATATTTCAGGATAATAAAAATCCATATAAAATGTCCAAAAGAGTAAAATAATCCATTTTCACCATGAATATTATTTATGTACTTTATTAAAATATTTACGCCGAAACGGTAAATAGGTTTATATTTATACCTACATAATATACATCTCACTGGGAGGTTATTTGATTTCGATTCCTTGTGTATAAGCATTTTTGGAGGAGCCTTTTTTACACCGATTAGATTTTCAGCTCCATTTCAGAATATGCAATGTGTCAAGCATAAATTGTTCAACAACCATATTAAAGTAATCAAATCACAATCTTAAAATTTATATATCCGTATATATCTTGAGGAAAATTATTTCTACATAAGTAATCAAATCACAATCTTAAAATTTATATATCCGTATATATCTTGAGGAAAATTATTTCTACATATTTTTAAGAAAATTTAACTAGCGCATGAAATTTCAGATTCTTAAAGTTTTTATACTTAGGTGAGAGAGCAAAATTCTCATTGAATTAATGAAGCCCTCGCTATTTCTTCATTGGACTACTAGAAGCCTAGTAGTCAGATGAAGGTTGCATACTTTCATTGTAGAAAAATCGTAAACTCGAAATAAACGCTTTGATATGTAATGTTTGCAGACAATAATAAACATAGAATATTTAAGAGAAAAGCAAATAGGTTTCTTTTGTATGGGCGTTTACTATCTTGTCTTATTGACACGCGCCTGTTCCATTTGTCTTTAGGACTTCATCCTCATTTTGTCGGTCTAAAAAGCGAAATCATTTACATGTTATCGAAGGCAGTCACTTACTGGTACTTTTCGAATAGTTACAAACCCGATTTTGAAAAGGTACTATTTAGGGCTCAAAGTATGAAATTGACTTTCTTAACTAAATGTCCCTTTTAACACGGAATATGGATTTCTGCTGGTATAGATATTTAAAACATTTCAGATGGTATCAGAATTAAAACAGCTGACTTGACTTAGACCTATAACGACATATACTCGAGCATTCAACAGCCTACGTTTTTGTACCCAAAGTGACTAGAAACAAAATTATCTGAAGGAGCTAAGATTCAGTACGATCACCACATTGGACCGTGACCTGGTTAATCTTCTCAAAAAACAAAAGAATTCCGAGCCAGCCTCCCTCCTAAGTCTACTAAGATACAGCTGAACTTCAATTTTTACGTAGAGCGACTACCATCAGACCTCCAGAGCCCAAGTACTAGGCGATATCGAAGTTCTTTAGAAAGGCTGTTGTTGGACTCGGCTCCGACTACCCGAAGAATTATAATTCCGAGCTAGTATCGTCCTATATATGAGAAAACAAAATCATTTTCAGTTGCCCTAAAATATGTAAATTTTAAGTTACATAATTTAGTCTTAGTCGGAGTCTTAACGTTGACATTTCACTGGTGGAGCTTACGCGTTAGCAACTAAGCTACGTAATATTGTTTATGTGAGTAACTGTTTTGCGTTTGGTTTCTTTGAGTATAATAAAGGGTTTTTCAACAAGAACTTTGTTTTTCAATTGAGGCAACAGCATGACAGTTTTGACATATAGTTTTTTGACGTATTCGTAGTAGATGCTTTGGTAATTGTTACAATGAATTCATTTTCGCTCGAAAATCGCATTAAAATAATTAAAATCCACTATTAAAATGGTGGTTCTTTTAAAGTTACATTTCATGAAATTCGTAATATTTTCGGACAACATAATCGTCCTTCTGAGACCGCTATTAAGAATTTGGTCGCTAAATTTTTTCAGACGAAGCCCATTTTCACTTGTAAGGGTACGTCAACAAGCAAAATTGCCGCATTTGGGCTTCTGAAAATCCAAGAGCAATTATTGAGAAGCCTTTGCATGCTTTTACGTGTCATTGTATGGTGCGCTATGTGGTCTGAATGCATGATTGGCCGTTTTTTTTTTTTTGAAGATGTGGCTACAAATGCGGAAACGGTCAATGGATCACGCTATCGCGAGATGTTAACAACTCAGTTTTGGCCTATTATTGATGACGTGGATATCACTGACATGTGGTTTCAATAGGACGGTGCCACATATCACAAAGCCAATGAAATGAACAATTTATTGCAAACAAAATTTTCCGATCGCATAATTTCACGAAATTCAGCGGTTAAGTGGCCAGGCAGATCATGTGATTTAACACCACTGGATTATTTTTTGTGGGGGCTATGTTATGGATAGAGTATATCGGAGCCAATCGAATCGATTGCAACCTTAAAACTTAAAATCCGTGATGTGATTAACGAAATAGACCCGCCATTTTGCCAAAAAATGATTAAAAACTTTGATGAAAGAATCGACATCTGTCAGCTTGCTCGTGGTAGACATTTGCCAGATATCATTTTTCATTCATAATTGCCAAACTTTTCTCTTCGTAATACAATAAAAATTTGAATCCTCTTCATCTAAATTCTTTGTTTTATTTTGTTTTAGAAAACAAAGTTCTTGTTGAAAACCCCTTTATATATGTTTAGTGAGTCGTATAAACATAATCATTCTAGACTGACTATAAACTGCAATCGTTCAATTTGAACAAAATGTAATTTGAGAGTAAATGAATTCACGGTACAAATACAGTTTTCCCTTGCTACGGACTAACGGACTCGACCGTCGTCATTCAAACACTCCTCAAAAAATATGAGTATAATTTCTAGAACCCGCATGCAACGGGTCCTACCGTGAAAGTAAACCACCCAGAAATCAATTCGAACACGTCTAAAAGTTCAAT